CATATAATAATAATAATAATAATAGCATTCAGTGTGGCTCACTCTGTAAGAACCAATCTTATGATTTAAGATTCTAAAAATCTCACCAGTACTCACTCATTCTATTAAACATGGTGATGAAACTGAACAGTAAAAGGTGACTTCAAAACGTATGGATTTCTATAGGTTTTTGTTCTCAGTCTTAAACCTCAGGTTTCAGCCAAGAAAACTGATTTTAAAAAAGTAATCTGAAATGGCTGATGCACCAAGAAAGTATTAATCTCTGCAGCAACTCCTAGAGAACTTTGTAATCAAAGCATAACGACAAAATAAGTAAAAGGTACTTTTTATTATTTATTTTTAAGCACCATTCATCTTACTAAAACTCCATTTATAACATATACACTAAAATCATGTTCAGAAGACTGTCCTACAGGAACATGTTAAGGAGGCTGGAAATTTTAAATTTTTTGTCTCACTGTTGCATAGACACTTGACGTTATGCCCTCAAAAGAGGGAACACGTCTCAGAAATGTAATAGAAGATCAACATCGTTTTAAGTATTGTAGAACTCTACAAGCAATATTCACCATCGTTTTGTTTCCTGATCCTTTTTCTTATAGTTGTCCAGTTTCTTCATTCCTTTAACATTTTGTTGCTTCAGTGTTTCCTCAGTTTCCCAAGTGTTATGGATGTGCGACCAGCCTTTCCATTTAATAAGATACTGTACTTCTCCTGGCTCCTTTGACTTTTCAAACCCAGCATTTGGGTCACCATCTGCCTCGACAGCATAGATGGTGGTTGCAGCTCCCGTGGCTGAGAAATAAAACCACATCATAAGCCTTAATTAAGTACGCATAAGTTAACTAGTAAGAAATAGAGCGTAGAAAGTAATTAGTGATAACTTTTAGACAAGCACATACTTGACTAGTATCTACAGCTTTCACAGCAAATTATTCTTATTTGAACAACTACAACGTAGATGTGTTAACACATGCACTGGTCATCAAAACAGAACCAAAGAGCAACAAAAACTTCTGCATCTAACCTACAATATCTTTCCTCATAAAATTTTTCTTTGCATTTGTTTTTAAAAGAACTACAAGGGAATGCTCCACTAATTCTGCCTGCTATCTTCTGTTGTATTACTCTCATCTCTGAGGATATACAAGACACTTGACATTATTCTTGGTCAGCCTTGAGACCTATATAAACTACCACTACAGATATGATAAATCTGTTTCTTCCTATACGTTTTACTACTTTTTCTGCTTTTACTACCTTACCTGGGAATTTTTTTTAATTAACCACAGTCTGTATTACAGCTGAAGCATACTAGCAGCAGGAAACAGGCTTATCTCAGATCTACGGAAATGACCCCTGAAAGCTGCAGGGGCCAGAAAAGGCCACAGAGAACAGCCATAGCAAAAGACAGCACAAGCAGCAACATCATCTGGGCAGGAACAATACAAGAACCTTAATTCCAAAGGTTTTGACCACAGTAGTAACACTATGCATTGGAGGACACACTAGAATTTGGAACAGCAAGGGAGAAGAAACTTCAGAGGAAGAGAAATGCAAATTCTGCGATGCGTCAGAAACTTCAGGGATTTCGTATACCCAATGGAGAAAGATAGCTCTGAAGTGCAAGGGAGACAGAGTTTGGTGGAAGGGTTGTGTTTTTATAATTAGAATCCTAATGTGCAGACTCAAAACATACAAGCAGAACTGCTGAACACTGCATCTCATTATTGCTGGAAACACGGCACACCTACCACTACTCACAAACTGCTTTTAAGAGTTTACATGCAAGTGCAGCTCTGAAACTTCACATCTATTTTGTAGTCATTTCACACACTGCACCGAACTGAGAAAATCCATACAGCAGTAACTGAAATCATAACCTCAGCAGTTCAGCCTTCCCAACACTATCTTTAAGGGTGCAGGTTACTAGTGGGCTCTTCCATCTATTCCACTTTCTCTGCTCCATTGCATACATTGATCAAGTGTCACTAAACTGTATGAGCAGCAGCATAACAATACAGTATGCATTTATCCAACATGCAGCTATTGTCATTTTTATTATCGACTTAGGTATGCAATTCCTTGAAATTTTACTTTGCAACACTTAATAGGGATTTTAAAAAGGAATATGAAAGACAAAACAAGATGACTTCCTGGTAACTTTAAAATTACTGTAGTTTATAAACTCCACAGGACATCTGCGTTTACTGAATTTGCATGACAAACAAACACACACAAACCAAAAAACCCACCTCCTTTTCGGCCAACTCGACTATCCATGAACTTCTCTATAGTTTCAAATTCATCCTCTTCAGTTTGTGGGACATCTTCTCCACAAACTTCCAGCAAATCATCAGAATCTGTCTTGGTTTCCTCAGCTTCTTTATAACTAATGTTGACCGTTGCCTGGCGACGAGATCCTCTCTTATCATAATCATCATCATCCTCCTCCTCCTCTTCTTCCTCCTCTTCCTCTGATGAATCAAGGTGCCTCTTTTTCGGTCCTGCACTCTTTTTCCCACTTTTTGGTTTAATTCTTGAAGACAATAAAGTATGACACAACAATGATGCTTCAACACGGACAACTGTAATTCTTCTGTACTGTTTTCTGAACATGTGTTTTTAATGAATGCTCACCACTTTCAGTCACAGCAGACAGGAAGAGGTATTCATTAGAAAGCATTATTATATTAACATCTATTAGTAGCCTTATTTTTTTTTCTTTTAATAAGCATTTATGTTTTTATTCACACGTATAGTAGTAAATACTCTGTTTTTTATTATAACTAGTACCAGGGTCTCTCAATGCATGAGTTCTTACCTGCTTGGAGGTTTCCGGCTTTTGACTTTGTTTTTCGGCTCATAGTCAGATTCGCTCTCTTCACAGCTGCTTTTCTCCCCATCTTCCTCTGATTCAGAGTCAGAACCAGTGCCCGATACTGACCCTGATCCCGACATTTGCCAGTCTTCACTGTACATATTGAAAGACAGAAGAGTAAATTATACTGTGGTTTGTTTTTTTTTAAATCGGGTATTCATTCACAGAGTACCCGACGTCGTTTCAAGATTCTTCATAGAAATAAAAATCTTGTAACAGTTACTTGTCCTGGTTTGGGCTAGAACAGAGCTAATTCTGTTCTATGATTTTACTTCTCAGTTAAAGCTCTTCTAATTAACTGCACTGTCTGAAGCTAACAGCATATTTTCACAGACTGTCTGCTTCTATCACTGATAACACTCCATGTTTAGAGTTACTGCCAGGGAGCGGTGTGCAGGCCAAGGTCACTGCTAAGCTTGGATCCCACACTAAGGGGGGGCAGAAAGTAAAAGCCACACCTGCAGGGAGAAGTAGACAAGATAAGTGACCCCAAAATTCATCAATGGGTTATTCCACCCCATATCTGTCATATTCAGTATAAAAGCTGAAGGATCACAAGGGTCAGGATAAAGAAGAGTTAACATGATATTAAGAAACCAAGCACTTAACAAGTCTAACTGGAAAGATACATATTTATCAGAACTGACAAATTCTCAAATCACAAAGCTCTGTCATGTTGTATTCTCGACAGCCCCACATTGTTGAATGACTAGGGTCCCTGTGGCCCATGTGAAGAATCAGCAACTGTGGCACAGGAATTAAAAAAGTTAAGAGGCAGACTGGAGAAATGCCCAGAAAAACTTTAATTGCAAAATCCTGTGAGTGGCATTGGCTCCCAAAAGCTCCCACTGAGCTCCTGAATCAGTGCTTCACAACCAAGGAAGATACTAGAAGTAAGACACTTGTGACTGAGCAGCAAAATCTCCTTGTTTCTTCTTAGCTAAGATCTTCTACTTTGCAACAGGAAAAATGTACCCACTGATGAACAGTATCTTGCTGCAAACTCTGACTTTATACAGGAAAATTTAATCTTAATATCTTCATGAAAAAGAAAAAAATAACCCAACCAGTATACATTATTGAAACACTGCTAAAACTTTATAGTATTATCAGGTTTAGGTCTACTTCACCAAGATGCTAAAGTAGTACTAATGTTCCTCAAATCTACAATAGTACCAAGAAATCTTGTCCTTAAAATTCCAACTTGGAAGCCTAGGAATCAGTGCTTTGACGTCTCTTCCTCTCTCCTTCCTGTCTTCCAGGACATTGGGTCCTGGAGAAAATTACATTCCCATTGTTTCAGCTATCCAACAGAAATGTGTGTGTCTGTTGTACAGATAGTATATGGCCAATGGTACAGAATGGCTTATAATTTCTCTTCAAAGAGTAAATTAAAAAAAAACAAACCAAAACAAACCATAAATCCATGCCCCTGTATTTATTTGGAAATATAAGAAACAGAGTTAAAGCACAATCCTCTAAGGCTTGGTAATGTACCAAGTTATACAGTGAAAAATCACTGATCTGTATGTCAGTCCTTTTCACAAAGGACCTTACTTTCAGTTAAAATTATTTGCTAGTCAATAGTTAATTACTATCAGAACTATAACCTCTCAACATGTACAAGGGAAAAAAAAGAAAACAAACCTACAAGCAAAAAGAATTTGGCATTAACTAAGGGATTCTGACTTAATTTTTTTGAGAGACAACCTAATTAAGCAGTTTTCCACTTCTACAGAAATTTTTAGGGAGGGCTTTCAGCTCAAAAATAAGCTGCAACAAAGTATTTTAAAAATAAATGCACTGATTAATATTTTTGAACAATACTGCAGATTCTTTAGCTCAGAAATTAATATTATATAGATTCTCCTTTGAGAGTTTATTTTAAATATTCCAAAATGTTTATCAAAATTGTAAAGGCAAGACCAAGATGAATTAAAAAGGGAACTTAAGCATTTCAAGTGTGGAGAAATGAGGCATGATTTAGGAGCATACGTCATTATGACAAAAAGAAAAGTGTTATTACTTGTGAAAATATCTTACTCTTTATGTTTTTTCTTCTTGGTTTCATTGCATGAGTCATCTGCAGAATCTTCACTGCTTGATGAGTCCTGCAGGTAAAGAAAAAAATCCACAATTTGTTAGCACAAAAAGAACAAAGTATTTCCTACATTAGAAAGATAAATCGGCTCCCACTTTCAAACTGGAGGCGTATGAGTCACATTTCACACTCTTCATCCCCCACAGTGTATCTGTTAATGCAAAATGAGATAAAGACTGCCATTGTTTTTGTATTTATCCATCTCTGAATATGTTGTGCCAGCACAGCTCTAGACAACATCACAAAAAAATCCTGTCTTTAAAAAGTAACTGTTGTGCCTACAATAAAGAGTCAGGGTTTAACCAGCCCCAAATTATCAAGATGGTGAGTCTACCAAAATCCTAACAAAATCTCCTATCCTCGGGACCTTTTCCACCTTCCAAATGTTTGACATTTAACCACCATTTTAAGAGAATTTTGAGACTTGCATGTTTCTTCTTCCTTTATGCTCAAAATAAAAAACAAGAACCCTCTTAAAATGAGATTTTCCTACACAGTCAAAATTTCTTTACCTATGACTTAGGTTTTGAAATACCTCTAATACAGGTACCATTATAAAATACAGTAATTCTTTTGTAGTAACTGCTACAAAATTTGCAAAAATGTAGTCTGCCTTTCCATACAGAATTTTTGAAAACCACAGCAGCTGCCTTTATAAGAAACAAGGTGAAAAAAAATCTTTTAGCATTATAACTTCACAGAACTCACGAAGCAAAAAGTACAACAAAGTCAGTACTGTGTGGCTTGAATATTTTACCCATGCATCACAGAATGTCTACCTAAAGATACCACATAATTAGGGCTGCAATAATTTTGGCACAACTCACCTAAAACAAGTAACTAGAAGTATTTTTACTTTTTCTTATAAAAAATGTCAGTTATTTGAGTATGACTTTTACAAAGTAAAACCAAACTTCTAAGCACATTTTGAGAATATAACTTGGCTCTATGTAATGTTATTCTAACATATAAAATTAGATGGACGTGTTTAGGCCATAACAATATTAATTACTTTATTCACCTCTTCTGAACCACTGTCTGATGAGGCTTCCTTTTGTTGTTGCTGTTGCTTCTTGAGCACTGCTGATCTCTGTACAGCAAGTATACTTGGACTAGTCTTCCAAAACTAAAGAGGAATGGAGACGCAAAAATCAGTTAAACATACTGGAAGTCTCCAGTTTAGCAGATGTCTTTTTCCTGAGTAGCATCACTTAAGATTGATCTTAATTTTATCAACTAAAAAAAAAATCACTACAAAGTACTGCATGTACTAATAATATCACACAGCTTATTAAAGCAGTAAGATTTCTGCAGAACAGGATGTTATATAAAAATTGCCATGACAGTTTCTACAGCACATTTAACAATCGTTGTGTAGCCATTGTTAAGGTAAAACATTTATAAAGTAAATTTCTAAACAGACTCAGATCAATCCTTTCCGACCATGTAGCTTATATGCTTTTCTTTCACACTATAGGACCGCAGTACGTGAACAAAAACACAAGAAAAACCTTAACAGTATAATTCTTGTGGTAATTAATCATTAATATGGTCTACCACACCAATCAAGTCTATATAACACAGGAGAGTGAGTGCAATTTTGTCCTACTAGATTTGAAAGATTTCTAAACAACACTTTTTCCTGAATTTAGTTGGTCTGTTGATAAAAAAGCCAACTGTACATGAGCTTGAAATTTTTATAGATTTATTGATGTAAGGAAACTAAGCATTAGATAAAGCAAAATAAAAAATTTCAGCAATAACAATATCACACATGCCTTTGTCTTCCCTAAGTCCCAGTAAATTAGTGTGTGCTTCTGTATGATGAAATTCGGGCAGGCATTTAACTCAGAATACTTCCTAATGTGAGATTTTTAAAAGTGCCTATCCAAGTAACTTACCCATGAGAAGCCTACCCCAATGTGTAAAACAGCCAAGCACATGCATTCTCTTACCCAACCAAGTTAAAATCTAATTAAAACCACTTTATTACCTCTTTTTTATTTCTTTTAAACAAAAACTGCTCTAAACTAAGCACATAGAAACATTTTAAAAATATTTTTTTCTCCCCATAAAAAGGTCATGTATAAGTTTTGTTTACCTCAGATCCATCAACTTTTGGTGGTTTAGCCTGAATCTGCTTCTTTTCTCTAGATGTGTCAGACTCTGATTCTGTGAGTCTGAGCCGGAGTCTGAGTCACTGCTGCCTGACTGGCTGCTGCTCCCATCACTGCTGCTTCCAGAGCTTGAACCAGATCCAGACCCTGATGCTGATCCAGAATCATCATCTGATCGGCTGCAATGAGAAGTTAGTGGGATATTACACAATTGCCAAGGTAACAGGACTAGAACAAAAAAGTTGCCTCAGCTCCACCTATAAATCAACTGTTAACTTAGACTAGACAAACGGGTAGCACATGAATGGATGCAGTTCATTAATTAAGTTGAGATGAATAAAGTTAAAAATAAACCAGAAATGAGAGTTCAGACTGTAATCAGATACTGTTTGTGAAGCCCAAAAAAAGCAAGATAAAGCAAGAGCATGGAATATGGAAGACTCAAGCAAGCAAAATAGAAGTGTTAGTAATGTTTCTTACCCATGCAAATTCACCCTCACCCCAAAAATCTTTGTTTAGCTCCATCAAACCCAATATATACATACGTATCTCTTAACAGTTAATCCATTCCACAAGGACTCGTTTAATCAAAATAAATTGGTTTTCATCTTTAAAAAAAAAAAAAAAACAAACAAACCAAAAGCAAGCAAACAAAAGCATCTGCACAGATCATAGTTTTCTATTAAAATAACCAGTAAAATTCTCCAGACACATCTGAATTTTTCACTGACTTGTACCAAGGTGCTTTCCTTGGCATAACTTCCTTGCCAGATTACTTCCACCTGTATATTTATTTTGCACCAGATTTAAAATACTTAGAAAACACAATAATTAAAGATAAATATTTATCTTATGACTGTTGAAAAACTTAGAAACATTTGTTTTCCTACAACAACCTCATAAAGTAGCCATGTTAAAATTTTAACAAGATTCCTTATTAGGTTAATATGACCATATTTCAAAAGATACCACGAGAAAAAACACCTGAATTACACCTTCACAGAGCAAAATAATTTCAGATTAGGTACACATTGACAGCAAATCCTTTAAAAAAAGAGTAAACATGAAAACAGAACTGAAAATGTTAAAACCAAAAGCTGCCAGCATAATTCATCTGGTAGGCAGGCAGCTGAAAGCAGTGCAGAGGGGGCAGATTGATACGAAAAAAGAAAAAAAAAAAAAGCAATATCACTCCTCCTGCTTTTGCTAACAGCAACAAGACTGTACTAGTAAAGACGAAGTGAAGCACCTGCCAAGAGTAAAACTGGGAAGGAAGAAGGCTGCTCCCAAACTACCTGTTTCTGTCATCAAGGGTCTACTTCATGCATGGTGCTGTAACACTAACCTCACTTGCCAAATAAAGCAGGGTGCTCACTAGAGAATGTGACAGAAGTTTACAGTGTTTACCAAAAACTAATGTCACTCTATGACAATCTTCTGAAGAGATTTTAATTGCAATAGTGTTATGGTACATAAATATTACTTTATCTTTAACACTGGGTAAGTCAGACCATTATAGACCAACAGCGTTTCTCAGCATAGCGAAGTGTTGTAAGAAAACGTCATGTGGACTGTGGAAGTTAGCACTAACTGTAACTTTGGAGAAACAGAATAAAATTCAGCATGGAGAAACCTTAAGACACAAGTGAACACCAGCTGGACAAGTCCCAGTGAAAAAAAGCCACCAAAAAAAAGAACATCCTACATAACCTTGGAGGAAGGGAAGGGAATCAAATACTTCCATGAAGGACAAGAGTTGCTCAAGGAGGGCAGTAACAATGTGGATTAACTAAAAAATATGCAAACCACTATGCCATAGGGGTGGTATGGTAATTCAGTTAGCTTTCCATACACACTAATACAGTGCTAACCACAGGTTAAACTGCACGTACAGCCAGATGCAGCCAAAACGAAGTACCTCTTTTCTAAGGCACAACGGGGGAACTTACACTGGAATAAGCCATCTTGACTGAACAACAGGCCAAAACTATGACAAACATAAAAACCAGCTACAGGAGAGAATGGCAGAGACCAAAGGGAAGGAAAAAAAAGAGAGTCACAGGAAATTTTAAGTCGTTTGATATTCTTCGACACAGGAATTCACTGGCAAGTTCAAAAACAAAGGACTAGGATTGAGGAAGAAAAAAATTGTAGTAGATAATGTCATTTGTTCTTGAGTTGTATGCAAAAAACCCAACTAATTCCAAATAATTTTCTTTATAAAGAGATCAGCTAGCATCTACTGCCTGTTCTGAGTAATACCAGCCTGTCAACAGATGTGGATCATACAATATGCAATATTCAGACAAAACACAGACTCCTTATCTTGACAACTAGCTCTCAACAAAGCTGAGAGTCTGGGAATGAATTCCCACCACAGCCAGTAAAGTAAGACCCTGATTCTCAGAATAAATTGGTCTGATTTGGACAAGAGCAGACTAATAAAACCTAATCTGTGTATCAACAAAAAGTAACATATAAGAAGAGTAAAAATCTTCAAAGTCAATATTCAACTGTGTTACTAACAAATGCAATACTACAAAACAAACCTGCAGGTAGAAATAAAACGGATGGTGAGAGAAAGAACGGAATTCTCAAGAAACAAGAAAGAACAAATCACGTTCACCACAACTGACTTAGGGCTGCCCCAACGACACCATGTATGAAGGACAACGCAGGATCACTGCCACACACGAACAGCTAACTGGTACATGACTAACAGTTAACTGGTACACAGAACAGAGGAAAAGAGAAAAAGAAAATGTAAAGGCTATAGCATCAATAACTAACTTTTCTTATCCCAGTGTTCAATCAGCACATGGAAATAGGAAAAGACTTACTGCTGAGAAGCAGCAAGCATTTTTAAAACTAGAGAAACGGCAGGAACTTGCTAAAACATTTATCCAACTGTGATGCTATGGCAGTATTCAAACATGCTTGAAAAGTTTGAAATTAACTACTGCAAAGCACACATGACTAGTCTATGTTGGACAGAGCTTACTTCAACTCTAATTATCCAGCTTAATACAGATGAGTTTCTACCCAAGTATTTCTTCATGGGCACCACATGCTCCTTGGTGCAACTACAGCGCATACAAACAAAAAGCTAAGATAAACATATGTAACTTCATTTCTACTGAACTGTGAAGAACTTTCCTGTTCACTGGTGATAGGACATGTAATTTATAGGCTGAAGACTACCAATGAATTGTTGTTTCACTGTGTCCTTTCTTACAGCATTTCAACCTGAGCTTCAGCAGAACACTGACTTGTGAGGCGCAACTCTTCCAAAGACAGTACTATAACCCAGAAACCTAAAGCTCTTGTTTGCAAAGGAGGCAGGAAATGGAAGTAATACATGAGTAAATCCTGCATGAACACATGCAATAAAGACACTCTGCAGATCACTGAGACAGGACGAAGTAGCACTCCATGACATGCAATACCTGTAAATACCCAATAGTTGAAAAAGTCCATACATCAAAGGATTTCTCCTTTGAGAAATTTAAAGGACTTGAACCAACAGCAACAGTGATGTGGAACCTGGGGCAAAGCATAATATGTAGCTTCGGCTCTATGGAATAAATGCTCAGTTTTCAGCATAAAAAGTACTTTCAAAATTAGACAGAAAATTGGTATTTTTCTTCTTATCACTTATGTCACTGCAGTCAAAGATCCAAATGAGAACATGTTCATGCCAAGACCAGAACACCACACACTTCTGGGTGCTGTGTCCTTGATTTTCCCACCCAAAATTTTGTTAATTATTAGTTATAATTATTATATCCTTTCACTAATATATCGTTACTTCAAACTATGATAAAGACTTTTTTTCCCAAGAAAAACTTACTACTAGCTAATTCCACGTGATTTTACGCTAACACAGGTGTCATCGCAGGTGGCTGAAGAGCAAGGAACTTAGTTCAGCCATTTCCTCCATCAAAGTCACTGCCTCTGCTCTCACGTAATTTTTATCATAAACTAATAAAAAAAAAAAAAAAAGAAGGAAAAAAAGGAAAAAAGAAAACAATTCCCTAACCAAACTGTCCAGAAATGACATCAGTTAAAAGAAAACTCTTTTGTATCAACACTACAAATAATAAAAAAAACCAATCTATTGCATAACAGGACTAGTCACCTATACAAACACAAATTGAATGGAAGTTTTCAGCCTAAGACTTATTTCTTAATTAACTCCAAAGGTAAGTATCTACAAGGCAAACAGAAATAAAGAACAGATTTGTAGCAGTCTTTTTTGTTAAAAAAAAAAAAAAGTACAATCACTGGAACATTATTTGTACCTGGTTTTTCATTTTTGTTTCACATGTAGTGCTGACCTAGACAAAATTTAACAATGAGTTATTGGTTCTTATTATCACCTAAGCAGGTCCCTCCCTTAGGACTTAAAGGAAGAAACCACCTCTCAAAGCCAGCCTCCCTGGTGAGAAAGACAATGCATACTTCTGCTAACTGATCTGAGGAATGGCTGGATTTAACCAAAAGCCTCTAAGGAGTCAATCTTTTAGCTGCAGTATTTGCCCTAAGGAGTTAATGAAAGACAGTTTCACCTTTTCCCAGCCTCACCATAGTCAAGACAAAACTACTGGCACACAAAGGCAGTGGTCTCCAAACATGGGGGCACACACCCAGGAGGTCCACAAGACAACCTTTCAGAGTACGTGAAGAAAATATTGGAACTTGTACTTAAATTTATTTTTAATAAAACAAAGAAAAACAACATCAAAACCACAATGAACCAGCAACTTAGAAAAAAAAAAAAACACACAAACCACAAATTCAGCTTTACAAACATTTAACACATGGATTGAAACCGGCAGTCTCACTCAGTTCCCATGTCTGAGGATCCTGTGTAACACATGGTAGGTGAGGTGACCTGGGGGAAGTATATGCTCCCCAATGTGAGGGGTGGCAATGGTGTAACCTGTCCTTCATTCCACTTCTGTGCACTGTGAACATTCTCCTGTTTGTGTCTGCCCAGTTAGATGGATTTATGAATTATATTCCTTAGTTTTAACCAAACTAACCCTCACAAAATAGAGAAGTGGCTTAAAAAGATTTCTGCAAAGAAAACAGTGGACTGAAGATAACACTAATTGCTGTGCGTGCAAGTGTACAACAAGAAAATGAGAGAGCTGGCACTTGTCCTATTCCTACTGTACATGCTCATCACTGCAAGGTAAAAAACAACCACAACTTCACTGCAACTCACAACACGCTGGAACAAAAAAACCAAGACTATCACAAACAAAAATTACCAAGACTATCTGAAGTATGTACTTATATCCACTATTGTTAACAACAACCTTGCCCAAAGTATATTTTATCTTGAGATAGCAGCTAAGGATAGTATGAAGCCATCATAATAGCAAGACATTTGGAAACTAATTGTCCAGAACAAGGACTCATCTCTATTTTTTTCCAGCAATGTTTCAAGTCAAAATTTCACTAAATTTATAGATGTTTAGAACCCTCTTCTGTGGTTCTTTTACCTAAGAGCAAGGGACAAAAATGCCACATGCCACTGGAAAATTTACTTCTCACTGCTTTAAAAACAGCTAAAATAACACATAGAAAATGAGTGAGAAACTGAAGTGCATTTCTTTGCCAGCAAACACTGCTGAAAGACACATAGCAAACACTGGTGAAGATCTGAAGAAACAAGAACTAGAACAAATCATGCAGTGTAGGAGGTTTGCTCTGTTATTGGATAAAGTACTGATGCTTCTAATATGTTTCAACTTATCCTATTTGCTAGATTCTGTTTCAGTGATAAAATACACAAAGAACTGCTTCTTCATGAGCCACTAAAGGACATATGTACTGGAGAAAAGATGCTTTCAACAGCAAACAACTTCCTTAAATTTGGAAAAAAAAAACGTTTTATGGAAAAACAGTGCAAGCTTAACCACTGATGGAGTGGCTGCTTTGACTAGAATAAAAACTAGGTTTCTACTAAGGGCAAGAGAGAGCACCACACATGAAATTCATCCGCTACACCAACCACAGGCAAACTGTTACAGCTATCTGGAGCCAGAAATGCAGCAAGTGTGAAAGGGTGTCAGTGTGATTATGAAAACAAGACCACCAAATACTGATTTTTTTTTTACAATCCTTTGTAATGAGATGGGGAGTGAACATAATCTTTTGTACCAAAAGAGGTTCACTGCTTAAAAGTATTGTTGACCTTGAAAATTAGTTTTTGGTGGGGTTTGGGGCCTTTGTTTAAAAAATACCAAGACAATATTTTGGGTAAAACAAGTAGTCATCAGTAGTATACTATCTAGCAGATATTATAAAAAAAAAAAATAAACACACTGTGTCCCTTCCAGGTGACACTTCAACAATGAAAAAGCAACTGCTTTTCAAAAGAAGCTCATGCTATGGAGAGAGCATTTTGAAAACAGATGTTCAGAAAGGTTTCCAACATTTTCTGATTTTTTTGCCAAAAGCAATGCATGTCACCTATAAAAGCTATGATAGCTGTACACTTAAAAAAAGTTGGAGGCTGAAATTTTCAACCCCCTTAAAAATCTTCCAGAAAGTTTCAGTGGGCTTTGAACCCATTTACAAAAAACCATGAAACTGCAACCCCTTCTGATATAACCTGCAAGGACCAACTGACAGTGGGGCAGATAGAAATTTAGTAGCCAACTTTTAAGAAAAATCATAGTATAATTAGTTGCTGAGATTGAAAAAATTAGCATCATGACTTAGTATACTCAGTCAATGATGCACTTCTATTTGGATCCACTTACCTTTGTGATGGTAACTTTTTCACATAGGCCAGCCACTAAAACTGAGTACACAAAACCCCTGAACTTGTAACCTTCAAAGTGTTACACCAAGATGTTAATAAATAAGAATATTCATAACAATTTAAGTGCAAATGTATTATTTTTCCATTAACAAAGTAGAACATTTTCAAATGCTGTTTCATCTTTATCTTATCGTTTTAGAATTTCTACTTCTTGTCCATGTTTTATAATGTAGGTATTAGCATAACAGTATAGGTATATAATTTATAAATGAACTAGACACACATTATACTTTTATTGATAAGAGTGCACAAGGAAAAATTTTGGAGACCAGTGATCTAATGGATTTAAACAGTTTAACAGAGAGAAGCCTTTCTTTCTCCCTAACCCATTAAGCAAGTCTCTGCTATTAAAAATGAACATAAATATGTAACCCCTTTCAAAGGATTATCTATGACCCTCTTCCACATGAGCAGTAATTCAGATGAAATCCTTGTATGCTAGATGCTAGCCCTAAGGGTAATCATGGAATTATTACGATAAGGTACAGATATTTACAGATGCATTCAAGAAGGAAATTCACATCTATCCTCTCAGAGTAAAAGGGGAACTCAGGAACAAGCCATTTCAAAGTCACCCTTTAACTGCTCCTACATTTTCTGAGTTTCAGCAATTTTCACACATTTTGAACTATAGTATAAGCAGTAGTATGAGCTACCACACTTTGAAAATGCTTTCAGTCCTCATCAGTACATTCACCTGTTGGTGAGGGTCCTACAATTCTGACATTGTTAGTGCTGCCCTCTACAATCCCCTCTGTGATGTCAGTACCATCCACTGAGAGAACAGATTCAGCTTTTTAAACAGCCTCTGTTTTCACAAACATTCTGAAGGGCAGGAGGTAGTGGAACAAACAAGCAGAATTCAACAGGCAGTATTTTTAAGACTGCTATCCTGAAACTGAAGTATAAAAAAATGCAAGTAAATACCGAATTTAGGAAATACTAATTAGATTTCAAATGAAAAATATTTTTTGGTAGCTTTTCTGTTTTAATACACACACATTCCCCACTGCATCATGACATACTGCAATTCATTTTTCCAAATGCTTAAACTGCTACATGGTCATATCTTCTCCCCTTTCCCATGAAAGATGACATGGCTAAAAAAAAGGGCAACTCCTATTATGGTACAATGTCTACCAGCATAACTGGAAATTTAGAAAGCTTGTTTGCCAGGGTTAAACATAGTTGTTTGAGTTTCTGAAGTTCATAGGACAAAGCATAAGGAATACAGTAGTTTCATACAGATTTTGTGATCTGCCAAAACTGATACCCTAACAGCCAGCCAGCTATAACAAGGAAAAACCCAATCGTTATAATCTTAGAAGAGGTCTACAAGCAAAGTCTTATTTTAATAACTTTTATCAGCAGAGTTCCAGAAATGGTCTCTCTTCCTTGAAATGGAAAAAGAAAGGAGCTACATTCTAAGAAGAAAATGTGTATTTTCTGTAAATAACCAGTGGAAGCTACCACTGCAAACCAAATACTAAGTGAGAGCATTTCACACTGTACTAATACTTTACTTTTAAAATAGTTGCTGCATTAAGGACAAGATAATATCCCAACCCTGTGTCTGATAGCAAGCCAGTTTACTTAAGTTAACGAAACAGAACCAAGGTTCTGTAATACATATGTTAAGACATAAATTCAGGGACATAATAGCTGTGAGGAAGTCATAACACCCTTGGTGTTTCCTCTTTTCCACCCTTGCCTATTGAGTTCTTTACTTTTCCCTGCATTTTTTGAGGCATAGACTATAAGCAATTCCTTCTCTAGATGAAGAGCTTTAAATATCAAATTTAGTCTAACTAGTGTCCACAGTTAGTCCATGACTAACTTTTCTGGCAACGAGTAATGCCCATTAGTGCAAATTAGCATCACTGGCCTCCATGAAATTAATCATCTGAACTGGCACTACTAACTAATTACTGAGATTCTCATATTCTATCTCTAGGGGTAGGATGATAGGAACTTTCATTATTTTCTCAACCACATATTGGAATACTACCACAATTACCTCTCACCTGCTCTCTAACACTGTTACACAAATATTTTCTCAGGGACAGCAAGTCCGGTCCATTGCTCTTCAGAGTTCCCCTCAAAGAAAAGGAGAGGCAAAGTGTGTTATTTCTTGCCACTTTCTCTTCCTGTACAGAGCAGGGTCACTGCCTTTCTTAAGATGCTTTTACTGAACGCAGTTCAGCAAAAGGCAAAAGTGAACACCACACCCACTACGCTGTGGACACGAGTTAGGGAGCTGGTTTGGGTACAGTTTAACTAGCCTTTTGCCTTTGCATCTGTAACCTCTTTTCTCTTTCTAAAAAAAGTCTGATTAAAACTGGAAAGGAAGAGAAAATCTCCACTATTTTCAGGCAGCTAGCTAGAATAAATTAGGACCTTTCTGCATTTCATTCACACTTTCCAAACATAGTCAAGATAGTCTCCGCAGGACAATCCAGTGATGGAGCCTACTTTCTTCATTTAACACTTCTGGTAGAGAAATCATACCTATCTTAAACATAATCAGATAAATAGTCAGCATACAAGACCTCTTCTAACCAACTCTGTTTTGTGGTCTAACTTGGTTTTTTCCCCCTACCTTCTCCACTGACAAATGGGCTTCCAAGAAACCAAATGCCAACAGGAATTACAAACACTGTCAGGACTCGAATAGAAACTGTAGGTGGAAACAACAGGGCAAAACAACCTACAGAATAGAGGTCCTGTCAACATAATGTACACAGAAATACAGTATTTTGTAACATAACTGCTGAAGACCATTTGTGCTCTTTTAGGCACTTAACTCCATTACTTAAAACAGAATTCCTGTTTTTCCAAGTTCTTCTTCTAAAGGTGTGTCACATAAGCCTTCTTCCCTCCTGCAGCTCCAAGAAAGTGCTACATATTATTTATTTAAAAAAAAACACATTAGAAATCATATCAAACCCAAATCCAAAGCTAAACAAAGACAGCAATACACAAGACTGTAGGAAAAAGTGGAGCGTCATAAGGCCATGGAAATAGAAACAAACATGATGGATAAGGCAATAGTGATGATCTCTTCAGTACTGCTGGAGTGAGACTATTTCTCTACCATGCAAACAACAGACGTGACAGTGAGCTGTCAACAGTAACTTGCAGTAGCAGCTATGCAACAGTATATACCAAAACTAAGTAGCATGTTCTTAGGGATATGATTTCTAAACAAGAAAGTATAGTTTCATAGTTTTTGACAAACTGAGGTCTGAAGTCTATACAGAGCACACTCCAGGATATACAGTCAAAAAACACCTCTCACCCCCAGCCCCTGAGTCAAGTAGTTGCATTTGTACAGCAGCACATGTCCAACATCATTTGGTATGAAAGTTTGACACACTAAGTAATTTGACTATTCTTTTTTATAAACATTGACTCCAGATAATCCCTACATAGTCAAGACAAACTTATGTCTGAACGCATTATTTATTTTCAAACTGCTTTGCAAGAAAAGCAATGCAACTTAATGCAAGTATCAAAGAAGATATTTTTTGCATTTTTCTTTACCTGTTTGGTTTTGTGGTTTTTTTTTTTTTTTTTTTTTTTTTTTCCCCCCAGTTCCCCCCAATAAACACCCATGCAAAGAAACTGGAGAACAGCTTCAGGGAGATGACAGGCTTAAAGACAAAGATCACTCAAACAGATTAAAAGCAAGTATCCTGTCACAGAGTCATTAGTTCTTTTCAATAGTCTTAAATTTAGCTTCAGGGGCTTCTCCCTTAAAACAAGGTGTCCCTGACAGAATCATACAACAGTCTGCTAATTTACACAAGGCATTAGGAAAAGAAATCCTAAAACGAAAAGCTACAGAAGTCACATTTAAAAAGAACTGAGTTAGCCTTTAGACTCCTGTGTAAAGTCAACATTAATAACGGATCAAAGACTGGATAGTTTATTACCACTGGTTACAGGTGCATTCATTAGGTTAAGCTACCTTAAGAATATTTTGATTTCACAACAGCAGGAAAAAGAGCACTAATTTGAGAAAAATGAAGTTCAACACATTAATAAAGAAAACAAAAACAGAAGCAACTTTATGCAGGGTCTTTGAAAAGCATACAGTGGACTGTCTGGATTTTCATTTGGGTGTTGTTGTTTTTAAAATAATCCAGAAGTTGAAGGAAGGCAAGCATTTGAATATGAAGAGTCCATTCAAAATGTGCAGAAGTAACAAACACTAAATGCCAAACTCTTACAATTGCAAGTTCGCAACTAACTTTCTTTAGGAAAATGCTATGCGTGTTTTTAGTTCTATTTTTAAAGAAATCTTAACTATTTAATTTGATTTAGATGCATAAGGAATATTTATCTTTTTCATTACCACCAGTAAAAAGCAGATGGAACAAAGAGTTTATATAAAGTTCAAGCTATCAAGTGTTATTTCTTTAGTATAGTGATTACAAAGCATGGACTCAACTGATACGGGCTGATATGGGGTAAAAATTCAAAGAAATGCATTGCACTTCTAGTTCCGTAGAACAGTTCTGCTCCTACTACTACAAACTTCCCCTTTAGCTAAGGTATCAAAACTACACTGATAATCTACCAACTTTCATGACCCTATGAACCACACTGCTAGTTGAGAGTCACAAGCTGCACATCTTAAGAGTGCAAAAAGTTTGAGGAAGCCTTCATAGGCAGGAGGCTTCTGTGGCATCCTTCAATGTGCAGCTGGTTTCCAAAGACAACACAATAATGTCTTCACCAGAAGCTCCCCGTAGATCACCAGGAAAAAAAAAAAGTATTAAATGGAACTTAATTAAAAACAAAACAAAGAAGAAAACCCTCAACCAATCAACAACAAGAAAAAAAAAAAAAAACAACACAAAAAACCACTAAACATGTGAGGAGCCACATCTGGAGAGGTCTGGTGTGTATACTGCCTATATTACAAAAGTTCACTGTCTTGAGGAATGTGAGAAGCTAGCATCATTTAAAATTTTGAAATTCTCAGAATGCTGGAATTGAATCTCAAATGGGAACACATTTTCCAGCCACTTAGGTTAACACAGACTAGGACCTGGATAAACTCAGCAGAAGTCTCAAAGCCAAAGAGCTGTACCATACATGTGTATTTCTTCTTTCAGTAGTATGTGTTTCTAGAGAAGAAACATTTGGGGTTTGATACATACTCTATACAAACTCTTCCAAAAAGAAATGAAAGGTGCTTTTAACTTAGGTCAGGGCATCTTGCCATGCCTCAGTATGCTTAATTCGGTAGATCACTCCTGATAAAACAGCAGTTTACTAACCAAAGAGATTACTGCTAATGTAAGTGAAGAGCTTGCTTTATCCACTAGCCATTCGCAGAAGTTCTACCAACAGTTTCCTTTACCATTCAGGTGCTTCTGTTGACCTGAGAGTTCCCATGCACTAACATACACGCATCTTCATATCTGTTGTTTTATGTATATGCTCTCTCTTGTTATACACACACTTTTTTTTTTATCAATATTACCTATTAAACACTTACCAAAAGGAAGATAGGGCATGGGTATAATTCTGCAAAAATGCTTGCAGAATCTCAGTTTTAACTCCCACTTAGATTTCTTGAAAGAGAGAAACTAAAGCCCTAGCTTTCAATTAATCTTTTTTACCTCCTACAGAAGGTACGCATTTATACAGTAAATTGAATCCTGCTGACAAAGTCTTTAGTCTTTACTTAACTATCTTTAGTGGTCCACTGACCGTTTAATCTACAAAGCAAATTAAACCCACTGATATTACTAATTTCTATTAATCCCAGCTTTCAGTTGTGTAATGAATGGCAAAAGCCTTTGGTGCAAACAGCTGCTATTTACTGAAAAAATGGGAGTAGAATAGCAGCCAGCTACTTTACAGTTAAACTGAACCAAGTATATCCCTTTTTATCTAGAGAAGAGAAAGGTTCTCCTAAGTCCTCTGTACCTTGTTCTGCAGGAAACATCGGAAAAGCAAAAAGATGGGAAATCAGACTGGTATTCAATTAACACCAATGTTTCACTTGTGCAGTACATTTTCTGCCTGCAGCTTGTCTTGCAGTTCAGGTATAACTGCCCTTCCTCGCTCATTACGCTCTCATTACTATCCAACTAGAATGTATTTACTCATATTCAGGTTTGCAACAGAATGCTTTCAAGAACACTACACAACGATGCTTTGCTTAAGTCTGTTTCTCAGAGTATCACTATGAAGTTTTTGTATCTACACTAATTTGCAACACAGATAAATTGTATCTGTAGTATTGTACCTCGAGCTACTTAAAAATCTTCCAGAGTAGTGATTTCAAGTAAGCAAGAAGCTGGAAAGTAGACTCCACTGTAATTACTTCACAGAAATCAGAACATAAAACAACAAGCAACAAGACGTAAGTGTTCATGCTAGTCTACAATTTCCCTCATGCTTGGTCCTAGCACTGATTTACAGATTCAGAGGCTGCTGAAACAGGTAAGGAAAATGCTAACAGTACAGCCAGCTCGTTCAACTGTGAAGATGCAAGAGATGCACTTTTCCACCTGTAGCAAAACAAAACTTCAGGCTCAACACCTGCAGCAATGGAAAGTTTTCTGCTCATCTAACAGACAGATTAATGGAGACAACACTGGAAATCAGTGCCAAAGAACAGCAAATTCGTCATTCCTTTCACATACTTCAGTAGTAATTCACCTTCACAGTCTCCCACAGGAAGTAAAGGACAATTACAATTCCTTGCCACGATGCAGACCAGTTTATGGAGTTTATGATCAGTATCTTCTTCAGCTTTCCTACTGAGAATACAACAGGCTTTCCACAACTTTTGCAAGTCATGCTGTTTCCATAAAACAATACAACGTAGTATCCATGAGGCTCACTGCATACTTTTGTAAATCCAGCCCTGATCTACTGCTTAACTTTCTCAAGTAATTGCAGCAGGTCCTCTCCATCAGATTACACCTAACTGTTACCATGACTGTCACTCCAAAATGACAGCCATGGCAGTTTACACCAGACATCAAAAGGAAGTGAATAGCTTCACTGCACCTGTAAAGTGACATCCATTTCCATAAATTTCTTGTAGTTATCAACAATGATGCTGTTCGGGTTATCGGTATATTCACCTTCATCTCTTCTCGTCTGCCACTTCTGAGAGTCTCACCTTTGCAATTTATTCCCAGCAGCAATTCTCAATTGCTTTCTCCACTTGTTCCACTTCCCTCTCTAGCATTCTGAATGGAACGGGACCATTGTAAGTTTAGTAAATTAATTTTCTTATTTATATCTACTTCCATACTGTAGAATTCACATTTCCAGATCTGGAGGCTAAACACAGCAACACTTCCCAAGTTACAGTTAGCTACCTGCCTGCAGCTGCAGCTTGCTAAGGCAACTCCCCTCCAAGTAAAAACCGTCTAGAGTTCCGGAAGCTTACAAAGAAGAAAAAATAAAACTTGAACAGGAGCAAGTCATATACAGATATTCTGTGTTACACTCCTTTTGCAATAATACTTATTAATAGACCTAAGCTTGACAGAAGAGGGTTCCATCATTTAAAATGTAAAGCTTTCACTTTTCATTTACAAAAACAGTTTGCCAGTAATACATGGCAAACATGAAAATAAGCTTTCCAAGTCCTGCCTGTGACTTAGGCTATGGGATTAGTCATTGATACAAGCCTAGGAAAAAAGTTTTTAGAATTTTACAACTTTTAAAAGCTTTAAGATGTGCTTAGACACATCTACAGGCAAGACATTAAACATGAAGAACACAGTCCTGTTTCACAGACAAGTACCAAGTTTTGAGTATTCTGCATTCTCCTGATATTTACTTGTAATGAAGCTGCTGGGAAATCTATATTTTTCTACAGGTTTTAAATAACTCTGATGTACTGGTATTATTGGCAGTCACAGTTCCACACAAAGTACTTTTCCCACCTATCTTTAGCAAGGTGGCTTGTTTCAAGTACTAAGAACATTCACACACAAAATCAGACTTGTCCCTGGTAATTCATATATGCTGGAGGTCTCACAGTTCAGGCTAGCCTTGCTCACATCATTTTGTTTATTCATGTTTCTGTTCTCACCTGACAAAGATGCCTTTTTTTTTTTTTTAAACTAACCAAGCATATTGTTGCTCTTACTTAAAAGACTCTCTAAACTCATTTGATAACTGGAACGGATTCAGCTTTATTGGAAGTAGAAACCTTCAAAGATTATTACGTATTAGAGCTTATAAATTGTTCACAAGACTGGAAGTTTACTGTCTTTCTAGGACACTGTAAGAGGAAGCTTGACATAAAAATACAAAAAAAGTTATTTGTTTCTTTAGTTTTACTGTTCACAGATTTCCTTGCGATTGCATCTAAAGCTGCCTAAATACTTCTCTCTTAGCTTTCTTAAACTCAGTATCGGTATTCTTCAGTACTCATAACTCTTCACTGCTTGGTTGGTTACACCCAGGAGCACTGGAGGAGCTGGCAAACATGCTCACCAAGCCACCTCCCATCATTTATCAGCAGTCCTGGCTAACCAGTGAGGTCCCAGTGGACCAGAGGTTAGCAAGTGTGACACACATCCACAAGAAGGGCTGCAAGGAGGATCTGGGGAACTACAGATCTGTCAGTCTGAGCTCAGTGCCAGTGAAGGCTATGAAGCAAATCAACTTGAGCACCATCACACACCATATACAGCAGAACCAGGTGATCAGGCCAAGTCAGCACGGGTTCATCAAAGACAGGTCCTGCTTGACTAACCTGACCTCCTTCTATGACAAGGTGATCCACCTCGTGGATGAGGAAAGGCTGTGGATTTTGTCTGCCTGGACTTCATAAAAGCTTTTGACATTGTTTCCCACAGCATTTTAATTTTAAAAATGGGTGCTCATGGCTTGGACACGTGTACTCCCTGCTGGGTAAAACACTGGCTGTACGGCCAGGCCCACAGACTGGTGGTGAATGGAGCTAAATGCAGTTGGCAGCTGGTCACAAGTGGTGCTCCAAAAGGCTCAGTATCGGGGCCACTTCTGTTTAACATCTTTATCAATGATCTTGATGAGGAGATAAGAGTGCACCCTCCATAAGTTTGCAGGCGTGCTCGTCTGCTTGAGGGTAGAAAGGCTCTTCAGAGGGACCTGGACAGGCTGGAGCAATAAGCCAAAGCCGATGGTATTAGGTTCAACAAGGCCAAGTGCTGGGTTCTGCACCTGGGCTACAACCCCATGCAAAGCTACAGGCTTGGGAAAGGCTGGCTGGAAAGTTGCTCGGAAGGAAGGGACACGGGAGTACCAACTGATAACCCGCTAACTTGTGCCCTGGTGTCCAAGGAGGCCAATGGCATCCTGGCTTGTGTCAGAAACAGTGCAGTCAGCAGGATTAGGGATGTGATCCTCCCTTTCTACCTGGCACTGGTAAGACCGCATGTCAAGTTCTGTGTTCAGTTTTGGGCATCTCAATACAAGACAGGAAAGTGCTGAAGTGGGTCCAAAGAAGAGCAACTAAGCTGGTGAAGAGCCCAGAGCACAAGTCAATGAGGAGCAGCTGAGGGAACTGGTATTGTTTAGCCTGGAGAAAAGGAGGCTGAGGGAGGATCTTCCTGCTCTCTACCACAACCTCGAAGTCTCTTCTCCCAAGTAATAACTGATAGGATAAGAGCAAATGGCTTCAGGTTATGCCAGGGAAGGTTTAGGTTGGACATTAGGAAAAATTTCTTCACTGAAAGGGTTATCAAGCATTGGAACAGGCTGTCCAGGAAGTGGCTGCATCACCATCCCTGGCCATGTTTTTTTTTCCCCTCAAAAGAGTAAATGCTACTCTGTTGGATGCTGACACTGTTTTAATACTAGATAAAGCTAGCTGTATTTTAATGTAAGATGTATGCAAGACCATTACAATTCTTACCTGAAGTAATGTGAATCTAACAAGCAGATCAAGCACCTGTAAGAAAGCACATCCAGTCCTCTCAACTACAGTCAGCTTGCTAACCAGGAAGCTTTGGCACCAGGTTCAAATATAAACCAATTTTAGTAAACAAAATATAGAAGAATATATAGCCAAGAATAACTGAAACGAGCAAGTGCTTACCTTGACTCTCCACTACTGTTTCTTACACTTTCTTCATCACTGTGCCCATTCATTGTAAATATTAAGAAGCTTAGAAGATAAATAAAAGTCCACACAAGTCAAAAGATGGATATCAAGAATCCACTTTTTGGTACTTTTATGTTTTCCAGGTGCTTCCTCTAGTGTTTTCTGCAGGTATTCAAGATTTTTCCCAAAATACCTAAAATAGCAAAGAAAAACATTAACACAGTTTGAAAGTATGTTTGCAGCTAAAAAGATATCAGAAAATAACTTGGTCTTTCACTGACACTGAAAGGGAGCATCATGTTTGGTGTCATGGTTTTAACTGACTAATACCTTTTTTTGGGTTACCTGTTCACGGCTGATCATTTTATCACCACTTCCTTGTATGAAAAAAGATAAAGTCTCTCCTGGTGTCTGTGAAAACCAGAAAAAAAAAAAATCTTCCCAAGGAAAAAC